CTCTTTACTGTTGATCTGGCTTATAATTACTTCTAATTAAGCAGAATAACATTCATAGTTCATTTTTATTGGAAATTGTGAAAACAGAGAAACCATATTTTCTCAGTGTTGTTACAAATGTCAAGAAGAAAATCAGGTTTTTTACCAGATTGTATTAAGGAATTAATGTAGCTTAATCACATCCTATTTACTTTCTAGGTTAATGAATATGAAAAAGTGATAATTTAACTTACAAGTATATTCTGCAAATATATGATTTTGAGAATAACTTAATACAATGACTTCAAGATACAACTATATTCTAATGTCAGTATTTTAAGAAATGAATCCTTACCAGACCAAAATAACTCCCAGGTCATGAAGTTGATTTTCACTTTTTCTTTTCTTTCTTTCTTTTTTTTTTGTTATTGTTTAAACAAATGTGCACCACAGTGTTTCAACAAGTAAGGCAAATGCCATGAATATGAAAGCTGTGGTTTGCGATTGTTTGCAATATACCACATCTAGAACCCAGGAGAGGTGAGTTAGATGGAAGTGGTAGTCATACTAATTAAACAATCAGGTAGGCTCGGTGCCTATGGCTCAAGCAGCTAAGGCACCAGCCACATACACTTGAGCTGGCAGGTTTGAATCCAGCCTGGGCCTGCCAAACAACAATGATGGCTGCAACCAAAAAATAGCCAGGTGTTGTGGCGGGTGCCTGTGGTCCCAGCTACTTGGGAGGCGAAGGCAGGAGATTCGCTTGAGCCCAGGAGTTGGAGGTTGCTGTGAGCTGTGATGCCACCGCACTCTACTCAGGGTGATAGCTTGAGGCTCTGTCTCAAAACAACAACAACAACAACAAAAAGAAACCAATCAGGTAACACCATGACAAGTTGGTTTGCAGCATCAAAACTGTCCATTAAGTTTCTTTCTTATTGATGATAAAGGTCTCATGTTGTCTCTAGTCTCTTCACTGTGTTTTGCGTGAGCCCCATCTCAGAATGGGAACTTTTTAGGTCTCCAACAATGGCACTACATTGCTTTATCTCCCAAATCCTCCACATCAAAAGCATGTACTATATGGGTTGTTTTTCTGGATGTGAAAGTTGACCATCGCCTTATTGCAATGATCATTGATATAAAATCTTTTGTAAGCTAGATAACCTACTGCAGCCCGGAATCCAGCAGCAAGGGTAATTGCTGCAATCCATTCAACTCATGCTCTGGAACTGGAAGACAGACTCACGGCGCCATTGCTTACAGGGTGTGTGTGTGGGATACTGACTACAAACCAGCTCGTGCAGACAGTGGGAGCCAAGGTCAGGTTCTCTCTTTCTTTAGGTACTTTCCCCTAAAACTGGGGATTGCTTGAGTATGCATCTATGTTCCTCTCCTGTACAAAAGAAAAGCATACCTGTCACTCTTCACAAATCTCACTAAGGTGCCATCGCCCCAAGTGTAACAATCTCCAGGTCCCCAAACTGGATGCTTCCCTAAAGCATAGCTTTTTTAAAAATTTAACAACTTTGTCTCTTCATTCCTTGATTTGGGGGGACAGAAGTATGGAAGCAAATCAAAAGGAATATTAGAAATAATAAAAACAGACTAATAGGTACACTTAAAGAGTGATGTCACAGTTTAATCTTTAAATTCCAATATCTCTGGGAGGCCAAGGAGAGTGGATTGCTTCAACTTGTGAGTTCAAGACTAGTCGGAGCAAAAGCAAGAACCCCGTCTCTACTAAAAATAGAAAAACGGAGGCAGGAGGATCGCTTGAGCCCGAGAGTTTGAGGTTGCTGTGAGCTATGATGCCACAGCACTCTACCCAGGGTGACAGCTTGAGACTCTGTCTCAAAAATAAATAAATAAATTCCAGTATCTACAATATGCTAGAAGTTATAATCTTGAAAACATAATAATTTAATTATGAAAATTAACACATCAATTTTATGATGCAGGTACAGGTAACATTATCTGTAAAAATTGTTTTAGAAGGTGCAGAGCAAAATATCTGTGACGGCCGCTGCTCCATGGGCAGGCCATTGCTGACCGAAGGTGGGTTGTCATCTACCCATCCACTGAACACCCGTTGAGTACCTACTATATCAGGCCTTGTTTGGGGCACTAGATATAAAAACAGTGGAAAAACTGACTTGTTAACATGCCAAATTCTTCATCATGGCTCCCTCTCGGGAGTTGAGTGAGGGAAACAGATTAGTTTAACATATATTCAAATAAATGTAAGAATTCAACTTTGATAAGCCCTACCAAGGAGGGGTGCTGGATAACTGGAAAATGGATAATGAGGATTGACAATGGATATTGGGATTGACCTAAGTCACTGGGGAGGCATCCCAAAAGGTGGCTCTGGAGAAAGAGAATCTAAACCAAAATTAAAGTAGCCAAGAATCCCTATGCAAAGACGTAAAAAAACAGGAAGAAAGGACTTTGCAACATGAGAGGATCAGGGAGAAGCAGGACTGATCTTTTCAGAGTTAGTAAGTTTTAGAAAGGGCCTTTGCCCTTATACAAATGCAATCCTTAGTATAAATCGATTGTTCTCCATGCAGGGTGGAATTTTTCCCCCAGAGGACATTTGAAAATTTCTAGAGACACTTTTAATTATTGCAAATAGGGTTGTGCTAGTGGCATCTAGTGAGGAGAGGGCAGGGATGCTGCTAAACTTTCTACAAGGCACAGACAGCCCCTCACAACAAAGAACTATCTGGCCCTAAAAGTCAACAGAGCTGACGTTGAGAAATCTTGTTTTACACGAGGGCAGGGCGGGTCCAGTAAGTATCCACAGTAGACATGGATTCATTCACTTATTCATTCATTCAATAAATATTTATCGAGTGCACATAATTGAGACATATCAAACACCCCCTAACCAAAATCATCACCTCAAATAGCCTTTCCAGTTGTGATCATCTGATAGCCTAAAATTTTACCATTAGAATGGCAGAATGGGAACAGAACTAGTCTTACTGTCTGCAGAAGGAAGACATTAAAATATACAGATACTATTCACAAGGGTGGTCACTGAGGCATTGTTTGCAATAGTGGAAACAATCTACATGTTAACAAGGGAATGGTTGCATAATTATGGTATGACGGTACAATGGCGTACTAAGCACAAAGAGGCAAATCTATCTGAGAGAACATGGAAAATAACCATGAAGATA